GGGTCTGCGACATTGACGGATGAAGCTGCAGAGATACGTCCACTTCGCGGCCAAGTGATTGGACTTCCCTTCTTGGAACAGCCAGAGATGCAGTTTCCTTCCAGGGTGCTTGCGGGCGATCTTGCGTAGGGCTTGGTAGTTTAGGTTGATTGGGGCTTAACATATCGCCTGATGCTCTTGGACGGGCGGCTGCTTGTTAATTGGTACCACGAAAGCTTTCCTCACAGCACCATATTCAAGAACTTTGTCCCAGACCTCATCAGCAGCAGGCTACCAGATAAAGCGCAAGCCAACAAAAACACGACCACCTCCATCCCTATAGAGTCAGCTCCAGCTTGCAGCCACGTCATCTCCGTTTCCTTGCACCACCAACGTCAGGGAACCCTCATCTACATTCAAGCCAACAAGAACATGACCACCTCCCTCCGCAGAGTCATCTCCCTATTGCATCCACGTCATCCCCGTTTCCTTTCAACACCACCACTGCCAAAAGCTGTTTACAACAGGAACAAGCTGACCCCCAACAAAGACACTACCACCGTTCTCGCCAAGGGGATCTCCAGCTTGCTGTCACAGCACTCTTTGCAGGTCTCCATCGTGTTTGTTTAATGTAGCTTAGCCTTGGAGCGAGCCTTGAGTCGGAGTTTCCGTTGGAGGCCTGGCCTGTAGCTTTTCATTCTCATTCTCATTTGTTCCGGATTGAACCTTGCGATGCTGCCTCAGCCATGCAAGTGGCAAAACCCTTTTTTCAAAAGAGCAGTCGTCTTTGCAGGGGCACTTTCCAGGCTTGGGTCAGAGCAGATTCCTTTGCAGGCACGAAGTGGAGTCTCTTGTTGAGGGATTTAGGGTTTAGGCTTGAGGGTTTGGGGTTGTAGTGTAGGGGTTTAGGGTTTAGGGTTTGAGGTTTGGTGTTCAGAGGTTTAGGTTTAGGAAGGTTTGGGGTTTGGGGTTGAGGGTTTTAAGCCCTACGCCCTAAACCCTTAGGGTTAAGAATTTTGGGCTTAGGGGTGTGCCCCAAGGATCCTGGAAGAGTCGGATGGCATCATGGTGGCCCGTGGTGACCTGGACCTGCTTTGGGAGTTTCTGACAATTTGGGGGGTTGCACTCAGGGACCCTAGAGGAATATCTATATATCTATTTACATTTAATTCTATATATATAAATGAATTCTGTATACACACGCATATATATTTATATGTATATGTATAGGAACATACGGATTATCGGGGTCCTCATTTGGGACAAAATCATCAGTGCCGTCTTCATTCGGCGTCTTCTTTTTCCAAAAAACCCGGTCTTCTTTACATCCTTCAACATGTTTTAAAGGGTCTTTTCGAATCGCTCAAATGAGATTGCAAACTCAAATGCAACGAATGTAGGAGACCAAGACCCTAAACCCTTAGCGCATACGCCTCCATGTTACCTTTGTATTGCCCATGCACATCTAGGGTTCCAACGCGCAGCCCCATTTGAGCCATAATCTTAGCCCCCTAAAAGGGGGCTATATAGGGGAGTGTTATTCATGTTTGCTTCGAATAGACTTGATATTGTGGGTCTACCAGTGGCTCATACATAAGTGAGTTTCCCACAATAATATAGACCCCCAACTACTATAATCCCTACAACGGGGACCCCCCAAAAAAGTATTCCTAATTTTGGGAACGCCGTAGTTCTCTGAATTAAAGGCAACCTATTGAAAAGTGAACATTAAAATTTGGGACCCTCCAACGAAATCGGAGTCAGGTTGGGTTTAGGGTTACTCCCCCCTATAGTTGCTACTGTAGACTGTCTAGGGCTTACATAACACTAGAAGCCATAAATCCCCAATCCCAGACCCTAAACCCTAAATCCCAGACCCTAAACCCTAAACCCTGAACCCTAAGCCCCAGTGTCTCTCAACATGCCGACCTAGATCTGAAGGTGACCTTGGCATGGAAATCCCCATGGAGAAGGTTTGGATGGCGCAGAAGATGATGATCAAGAAGACCAAGGCGGCTTTCAGGATTTAGGGTTTAGGGATTTAGGGTTTACGGTTCAGGGATCCAGGGTTAGGGATTTAGGGATCTAGGGTTTTTAGGGATGAAGGGGGAACATGGACAGTACTGTACTTGGAGGGTCAGGGAAACTGCTGTAGAATCAAAATTTTCTAGGAATGGAAAGATTGAAATATATTATTTAAGGAGTATGACATATTGGGGACCCCGTGTAGTATCTAGGTTTCCAGTTCCAGGGATAGACAAAGGTAGCTTTTATCTAGGATTCAGGGTTTAGGGTCTAGGGCTTCTGCTTCTTTTAATTCTTAAAAGCCCCGTAACCTTAAGTATTACAGTATGTTGAGGTCTGTATCGGGGTATTGAGGGTCCTGGGAACTGGAAACTACTATAGTTTAGTATGTTGTATGCTTTCAGTTGGATTTAGTTTATATAGGCCTGTGCCCAGACGACCCAATGCCCCTAACCTTAAACCCTAGACCCAAGACCCTAAACATCAAGGTCCTAGGTCTCCAGTTAGCCTGGCATCCTGTAGCAGTCACAGGAATGGGAGCTGAGACTGATCTACCAGAATGCCAAGCAGCTATGCTATACTCTATTCCCTCTTAAGTAGATAGAATTTTGGAATTGCCAATATCATAAGAAGATCTCCCGCATACCCCATATTCTTTCTACTTAAGGGGGACTATACACTGATATGCACTGTATTCTGCTTTACTGTGCTATTTTATGCCGTGCATTGATTTCACGTTGGTCCGTTGAGGCCGCTGGCAAGTACGCCGTTTGCGCCACGGAGATGCTGGCATCCATGGAGGACAAGCCGTTCCCGACCCGCGCAGAGGCCTGCGACGTGGCCAACGCCATCCTGGACGGGGCTGATGCTGTCATGCTCAGCAGCGAGAGCGCCATGGGAAAGCCTCCCGGCATGCATTTACCTCTCTGTTGGCTTCATGAGCCGGCGCAGCAGGAGTCTTTTGGCTGCATTCTGTGCTGCACCGAGGTTCCCCGTCGAGACGGTGAACACCATGAGGAGGATCGTTGAGGAGGCCGAGCATGCTCTGATCTCCGAGATGTTGGCCGCGTGAGCGTGAGCTCCGCCGCCACCGGACGTCTCACTTAGTCTGCTTTCTCTTGTGACTTCGCACGCTGCGCCCAGGAATGCTTAGAAGGCATAGCCTAGCTTGCCTTTCTGCAAGTGTTGGGGCTTGAGCAGCCAAACTTTTGTTGCATTTCTCAGGTTTGACTTACGGATGGAGAGCCTGGCATACCCTGGTTTAGGGTTCAGAGTTGCCTTCTCCTAAGCATGAAGCCCACATGCCCCCAATAATGAACATGCCCAGTATGATATGATGGCATGATCTTGAGGATTCTTATGATCGGATTGGGGTGTTCCTGAAGGGAAACTGCCTCCAAGTATTCTTGCCTTCCCTAGGGCCCAATTTTCTGGGTTGCTGTTAAGGAACTTAAATTAAGTTACCATAATGGGTATATATAGTAAATAAGGGTTTCCCCAATATAGTAACTTAATTTAAGTTCCCTAACAGCAACCCAGCAATTTTTGCTGCCCAGCACCACGTGCGTTTTTGCCTGTCATTGTAATTGTCCGAGGGCTGGTGGTCGTTATCTTTCTGTAGCTGCTCTGTTGTTCTCATTTCGACTTTTAAAGCCCTTGGGGGAACCTCACATAACACCATCTGTGGTTGTAAGTTTGGGCGCTGAAAGCACACGTGAGTTCGAGGGCGTAGAACCTAAACCCAAAAGTGTCTCCTTTTGAGCAGGATTGTTCCTTGGTTAGCTTCTTGGGGCGTACCTTGAAGCGCGCCATGTCATGGTAGAGTCATGTCAGGCTCTTACTACTTCTACTACCTCCGCTGCTGCTGTCATTGCTGATATGAGCTACGGACTAAATTCAGGTTGGGGGAGACCTATAGGGGACTGTATAGGGTTTTCGGGGGGATCTATTAAGGGATATACTCCCCTCTTTAGTCCAGGGCTCATATCTTACTGTCACCTTTACTTGGCATCCAAGGGTCGTGCCGGGCTCCGTCCATGTACCAGCTTCCAGAAGACAAGGGCTCCCAGAAAGCGTGCGATATGAGGGTATAGTACAGGGGTATCATATATGGAGAATGGGAAAGAAAAATGGAAACTACAATTTCTGGTTTACGGTTTAAGGCTTAAGGGTTTAGTCCCCCTTACGTAGATAGAATATTAGGGTACAATATAGGTGTAACATGGAAACTACAATTTAGGGTTTAGGCTTTAGGGTGTTTTTGGGGGTTACAGAAATCTGCACGAGGGGAACCCTCCACTGTTGGAAGCTTCGCTGTAGCTTTGGTTTTTCTTGTCATCTTCGGCCCCACGCTTGGCAGTATCTAACTGCTATTCTTCGGCCCAGTCTGCAAAGCATACGTTTGAAGCCGGGAGAGAAAAGGCGTTAAGGTTTTGCAGCTTTACGCCTTAGGGAATGAGGTCACTGGCCCGCTTGAGCCCATGTGGGTATTTCCGGCTCCCCTGGGAGCTCTTTCTCAGAAGAGGGGTCCTTGGTTTTGGGAGGGAATACATGGGATTCCTTCATTATTCAATCTTTCCTGTGGGGTACCGCACCGGTCTCCACGCAGAGAAGCCACCATGCTGATAACGTCTAACCTGGTTTTTGTTTTTCTTGCCCCGTTGAAAACTTTGTGGGTTACTCCAGTGTTTCCCCTAAACCCTAAACCCTCAACCCTAAACCTCAACCCTAAACCCTAAACCCTAAACCGCCATAGATTTCGTGAGCTTCGTCTATGCCAAGCATTGTCCTGCAACCGGCCGGCTGAAAGCCTTTGGAATGATTTAGGAGGACCCCCCCCCACCCTGTAATAGTGGTATAATGAGAATATGAGAGGACCCCTATTTAGGGTTTAGGGTTTAGGGGTTTAGGGTTTAGGGTTTAGGTGCGTTGCTCAGTGCCGCGACACGACCCACTCCAGGGAGTGCGGTGGGTCGGTCGCCTCGGTACTGTGGGTCCCACCCCAAACCACCCAGACCAGCACCTTTCACGGTTTAGAGCAATCCACCCCCCATGGTAGGCCCCCTGTGCAGGGGGGCTCGAGCGTTTTTTAGC